AGCTACACTGAGAAAAATACACCACTTATATTCACAACCTCTACTGTGACACTGCACTGCCTCCATGTTGCTAAATATACATCACAACAATATAACACAACAACACACAACATCACAACACAACATCGAAACAACACATCAACACAACCTACAGTTAAAGAAGGATCTGAGGAAAGTGTTGATTGTGGGAGAGGCTTCAAGCTCACATTTGAACCCAGATAGCTAACATTGAAAATAAAACATAAATTGATGCTGTTTCCGCTGCTCGACACGACTAAACTTCATTACATCGTGACGTCACATGACCGTACTGTAGTTCCTCTATAGCCCAACATTAGCCTCCTTTAGCTTAGCGGTGGTGACGTGAAGTCATGTGACCGTGCTGTAGTTCCTTTATAGCCCAACATTAGCCACCTTTAGCTGAGCAGTGGTGACGTGAAGTCATGTGACCGTGCTGTAGTTCCTTTATAGCCCAACATTAGCTTTTACTTAACAAATCATAATTTGGTGTTAATATGTGGAGATTATTCTGCTAAACAAAACATGTAAGTATTATAAAAAATGTTTGCGACAGAGGATATTTTTTGCAACCATCCAATGGAAAAATACCATTGGATTATTTTGGGGGAACTAGGGAGATGCTAATCTCTGTAGAAAACATTGTAGATATTAAGCAACATTCCTGAATTCAATTAATTAACAAACAGTGCTTGGGAAAGAAATGTGTTTTCATTACCTGTTCTCATAACGCTTTTTCATCGCCTAACTTCTTCAACCAACGATGTGAACCCAACCTCGAAAACACTTGAAACCAAACACAGCCATCCTCGGGTTCATTCGGCATCTGGAAATCTTACGAATTCCTTTGATAGTTTAGTCTACAAAGTCTTTGGGGGGGCAGAGGTTCAAACTGATAGGAGTTTGGAGCTCAGTCAATTAGACATTTTTTATTGAAGAGTAGTTTATGCAACTTTCCCACATTTGGAGCAGGTCAGATTAGCACTTCATCACTGGCCTGTATTTATACATCAGAAATTCTTTACATGCTTCGTAGAAAAAGTCTCGGATAAGACACATAAAAATACTCCTCATTGTTCATGTGAATGGGAAAAAGGCACACTGGCAAATAAGTGCTGGAAGAAAGGGCATTTCTAAGTATAACTCATATTTCATTAGCATTTCCGTTACACGCAGACTTTGTACACCAATCAGAACATAGATATACATCTGAACAACAAAAGCAGTTGGAGCCCAATATGAGAGCAAATCCAAAAAGTGTCTGCGGTTGTTTTTGGCGTCTCTCAGATGCAACAAAAGTACACAAGTTTTACTGGATGGGTGTTAAAGAGCATCACCTCCATGAGTTCCTCTCTCTCTGTTTAGTCTTGAACAGTCTGAGCTGTCTTTGGTATGCAGTCTGATAGTCCACTTGAGTCTGAGTTATGTCTGTTGCATAGCAGAGAATTGGTGATAAGGAAAGTGTTTTCTCAGTGTATACAGTCCAACGTTAGGTACGATCAGACCTCTCTATCATCCTCCACAGTCTTTGCTACCTGCAGCCACACGTCTCCACCACCATGTCCTCGTACTGTTTGTAGACGACGTTATTAGCCGAGTCGATGTAGAGTATGCTGATCGGGCTGAGTCGTGTCGGGACGCAGCAGGTCGGCGGCGTGGACTCGGGGTCCATGGAGTTCATGAGGGTCTGAATGATGGCGTGGTTGGTGGGTTCCAGGTGCGAGCGGATGGGGAAGTCGCAGACGCCGTCGCAGTGAAAGGCCTCGTACTCCAGCGGCGCGATGATCCAGTCGTCCCAGCCCATCTCTTTAAAGTTCACGTGGAGTCGTCTCCGGTGGCATCGCGGCCTCGTCTGCGGCTTCACCAGCTGGCTCTGAGGGAGGGTATGCACGGGTTTCTTAGCCCCCCTTGAAGCGGGAGCTCGGCGCATTCTCCGCTGCGTAACCAAGTACTCGTAGACGGTTTTGTTGTCGTGGCCCGACCGCGCTTTGATCTCGTTGTAGAAGAGATCTCGCTTCTTGCTTTTGCCAAACGCCAGGAAGAAGGCCTTTTCCTTGTTGGTCCTTCCGGGTCGGGCAAATCCGAGCGAGCGCAGGTCCAAGGGGCGACCGCCTCGATGCTCCAGGGCCTCCAGGTCAAAGCACAGCTGCTGGGAGTGCTGGTTCTGCTGGGTTTTGAAGCCCTTGAAGACTTTCCAGCCGTCGAACACTTCCCACTTGCTGCTGAACGCGCCTCCGCCGAGCAGGTCGTCCGAGGTCTTGGTCTGCAGCAGGACGGCCGGCTGTTTACCTGATGCGCAGGTGTACAGCTTCAGGCACGGGGACGATGCTCCTCCACCCCCTCCCTCAGCGGCCTGGGATCCCATGGAGGCCCTGCGGGGGTCAGACAGGCGCTTCCTCAGGATGCGTAGCTCGGCCCCCAGGAGCCCGTCTCGATCCAGAGAGCTGACGTTGAAGTGATACCTCTGACGTCTCAGCTGGGGCCCTCGCTCATCTGTGGGGGAGGACGGAGACACAGACAGAGGTATGAGTTACAGCTGATCGAAAACACATGAGGGAGACTAACCACTCGTAGACACACACATCCTAAAGAATCATCCCTTTGCATTTCTTTTTACGCTGCTATGGACAATCTTGCACTAACACACATTTCTCAAAGTTATTGAAGTGATTATTATTTTGTATATTGATTCTTGTGCCTTCATGTCTTGATGTGTGCACATGTATAAATGTGTTTGTTGATTGTGTGTAGGATTTACATATTTTTATATATATTTGTATTCAGCATTTCGATCTCTCTGTTCACACAAACGGAAAGATTGACAATAACGTTGATTTAAATAAACTGTTAACTCTACATTCTGTTGATCAATTCACAAAACACCAAGTTTGTATTCATTTGATTTGCTTGCGAGGTAAATGTGTTCACGCCTCTCAGTGGTTATTAGTGTCTCTAATGTTTGTGTTGTGATGGCAGTTGTCCTGTCTGAGGTCGTATTGGGACTGGATTTAGTTTTGTTTGTATTTGTTTTGGTGTCGCCCCTTGCTGTGTGTACTACATGTTCGGACCCTGAAAACATCTCAAGGGGTTCAGACAGCATTTAGTTTCCCTTTATAACGTTTACTTCCCATTTGCACATTGGTCACATTGCCTTGCTCTATTTTATTTCCACTATGCTTCTTTTGCTCTGTTTTTATTGTTTTATGTCTTCTATATTTATGTTGCATTGTTGGAGGAGCTTAGGACTTAGTGTGTCCTTTCCATAACTTCACTGGAGCTACTGCAACAATAAAGCCTTCGAACATTTAAGAAAATAAGAATGAAAGAAGGTACGAACGTTTTTTATAAAACACGCTTCACCAAAAGGTATTTCAAAGCGCTTTACAAAAATGTAAAGTGTAAGATATGGTGCAACAGACCAACACGACTGCATTTAAATACATGTAAAAAGAGATATTCAAAAAAAGCCAAGAGAACTAAAATAAAACGAGTTAAAAAAGAGCAAAATACAAAAATAGAAGTCATTACCGTTTTCCTTTAGTTATCATGTTGTTAAGGAAGATCCTCTAACTACACCAACGCATGAATATCTGCAAGGGCATGGAATTATACAGCAAAGAAGCTCCTTCTTCAGGATCAGGATCCTCAGATGGGAAACTCCCTTTCTGCTTTTTAACAGCATGTGATTTAATTGAATATCTTTTGGTTTTGAGAACATAACTTTGGGCTGTGGTAAATGTGGTAGGTAGCTGCAACCCCAATGTGTACACACATAAACACACACACACACACACACACACACACACACACACACACACACACACACACACACACACACACACACACACACACACACACACACACACACACACACACACACGCAA